GTTAAATCACAATGGTACAGTGAAATAGGCATAATAAATTACTATAATATATTAGTTATATTTAGGATTGAAATCGGTTTTTTAAGGGACATAATTTTATGTCTAAAGATGCAAAAGTTATACTGAAAATAAATAGTTAAAAGAAATAGATAGGTTATATACACATTTCTCGGTTAATTATTACTGTTAAAGTCGCAATAAAAATTGTTATCAATATTCATTAAAATTTGGAAAAGATTAGGATTATCTTTATTCAATTTTAAGATAAAACATTGAAAATTTAGAAGACTCTTCAATTATTATTTTATATCTTATAGATAATAGTGATGTTACGTTAAAACAAAATAGAATTTATTAGAAATTTTTATAATTTTTTTTCTAAGGAATATTAAGAAGACTTTAATATTGTTAGCTTTATAAATATTTTAAGATTTTTTGCATGAAAACAATGACATTTAGTGGTATTCTAAGGCGTAAATAGAGATCATAGAGACATTATAATACTTATTACTGTTGAGAATATTTATTAATTACATATCATTATTTATTTTTTTAATCTTTTATTGTATTGTAAAAAATATGTAATATTACATAAATAAATTGAAATAAATTTCATACTTGTTTATGTAATTTTACATATTTAGGTACAATCCATTAAAATAAAAAGCATAAAGAAATAAAGTCAAAATGTATTAATAAAATTTAAGAATTTTCTATAAAAAACAAAGTCACTTATAATATAAGAAAAGACTTTTCACGATCTGAATGCAGAACTTTTATATAACTTTGAAAGGAAAATTTTATCCGAAGTAAACCGTAAATCCGAATCTTCATTTCTTGTGTTTGCGGGTTTATGGGAATTCAATTAAGTTTTCCTTGCGAAAGTGTTCATCGCGTACAAGTATATCGTCATCTGTTCAAACCGGAAAGTGGAGAACTTTGAAAAAAAAATTGACAAAAAATTTGACGCGGCAGATTTGCCTGTCTTCAACATCAGTCTTATCGCGATGTCGTGATATAGGTAACGCGGTATCGTTATCACGTAATTTTTGGTCCTTTTCTCCATGCAATTAATCATGATCACCACAGGCGACTATCACTTTTTATGAAGACATTCGGAAGTTAATAGATCGTATCACGAGATTCGCGTATTAATATTTATAATTTTCTATTTTCGTTCCGCTCAAAAAGTCATCAGAACTCGCGTGGACGTCGGCGATGACGTCGCGTCCGATTAACCGGCGTATTATGCACGCTATAATGTAACACGAGTTGCTTTTATGAATAATGCATAGCCGAAGGAACAGCGGGAGCCTGTAGTGGAGCATCCACTTCAGATCAGCCAGGCAAGACAAAATTGAATCTTAAGTGTACGTTCTAAAAAGCTCCGTCGATCCACTATTCGTCGTCGACCCAGTATAACGAGCATCGTCTTTTTTATCTTTGTCTTTGGCAAACTCTATTACTATTAATTGTTAACCGTATGACGAAAGAGTCTAGCACGCTCGATTGAGTATTTTTAATTCAATATTACTCTTTGTTTCAAAACTTTAAGCGAATTACCAATTAATAAATTGCTGGCCTTTTTAAGCTGAAAGTGGAGTTTTTATTATAACAATAATATATATGTATATATATAAGTTTTTTTTAATAATGTATACAATATAATATAATATGTTTGAGATGTATTAAAACTGATGGGTATTTTGCCTTGATTGGCACCTGTCACGAGATTAATTAATTAATTTAAAGTGCTGTCCTATTATTTGAAGTTGCATTGAGATTAATCATCGAGCGCGTTGTTAAATCTGTCGAGTTGAAAATACTCACTGGAGCGTGTCGAATTTCTTCCCCAATATACCAATTACATATCACTTAATTTATATGCAACACATGTAAGCGCGTAATGTATGATTATGACCCTGAATTTACTCACGTTATTGTGCGAACAATCGCCAGCCTGTACATATATACGTATATATATATATATATATCGTACCAAATATCTCTGGTCCTGTAATTGCATGTCCAATCGCAGAATTGTTATTACTTCACATAAACGTCAAAGACAGTATTTATGCGCGCGTTACGTTTCGCTCTATTTCTATCTCAACTATTTCTTGCTGCAATTATAATAAACGTACAGATATATAACATATAGTTATATAGACTGTCGCATATAACATTGCAAAACTGTAAATATTTTTAGGAAACATTTTTTTTATAACTTTGTTAATTTTGCACTTTTACGATTATTTTCTATAGGCTAGATTTAATTGCTATCGCGTATTAACTTCAGAAATTTAGATTGCTTTCCACGATGCGCACTAAACTGCACTGTATTATTTAAATTTTGAACGATTACTTCAGAACGTCTCGGATTATTTCTTTGCAACAAATACTTTCTCACTCAGTTAACACGGATTTTTGCGACATTCTGTATAATCGCCTTACGTATATGTTTAACTATATCTGTGTATATGTATATACTCTATATCAACCGCTTCTTTCCGGCTCGAAATCTTATCCCGTCACAGTGAGCAAGATTAATTACGTATTATTCGTTATCCTGTCAAGCCGTGTCGATTACAGTTGGCTGGATGATTAATCGATGTGGAAATCGAGCGCTTCCTCTTCGTTAATAACTTGCAAAGATTCTCCGTCGCGTCTATCCGAGTTACGATTTTGCCGTTAATTCGCATTGATTAATTGGCGTCCAACAGGTACGATGATCGGCTATAAACACTATGACAGCATCGCGTTACAATCTCGATTGATCGTTACGAAAAGTTCGCACGATTCAAGTCCATGGCAACGTGAAACTGGCTGTGTCAAAATTTTCAAAAATGTGAAATCTTTTTCTTATGGTTGACCGTGGTTGACATTAATGACGTTTGGATAATCGAACGAAATTGTATCTTTGACTTTTATAAACGCGACGGTTTCCAGTGTTTCTTTGTATATATCTGCAACACGTACATGCGTTTCCGTTTATTACTCTATTACATTTTATTGGAAGCATATAACTTCATAAACATTGAAAACTATTTCCAAAATGTAATGCATTTCGAAAGTAATTGTCAACGTGCATCGTGATTGCTTTTTCCAAACTGGTTACTTGGTTAGAGCTGACTCAAACTGTGTTTGGATGTAGCAAACGGTAATTCACATATATATACATATCTAATGATTGTTTGTGTATTTTGTATCATAAACATATATTTGTGAAATATTTTTTGTAGAAAGTATTTCTTCTTGTAAGGTAAGAATTAATAATGTACAGACCGTTTTCTCTTTACTTCCCAACTTCGTCTTTTCTATCATTGATTGTTTCGTTGGTAGTACAAGGTGTATTCAAAATGTGCACCTTTTTATTTCCAGAGCACTTCGTATAAATGTACTATGTATTAATGTTATATGTGTGCATAATTTATTAATTAATCTCTCTTACTGTTTTTCGTAGGTAATCTTGAATTTCGTAATGAAACCTAGTCGCTCGAATAACAAGAAAATATGCGAACGTGCGTGGTTCTATTCTCTCGTGCAGGAATACTCGGTTATCGCGATAGCAATTTGACGGAAAATAATTGCGCCGAAAATCACATTGCCTGCAGGGTCTCATTAGTTTTCCGCTTTGCTGATCTCGCACGGAAAACGCGCGATTCGCTTGAATATGAAATCGTCGCTCGCACACTTTCGCGCATACATTCGGGCTCGAATTCGAATTGTTTGACCCGTTTGAGGGGATGTGCCGCATCGACGTCTGTGAGTTAATTCGTTTTTGTCGGTGATGCGTGCGGTGTGCGCGTCACTTCGTCAATTTGCAGGCTTTCCCGGGGTTATTGGATCTGTCGAAACGCTATGAAGCCCATCGGTTTTTTATGGTCGGTAGTACGGTATATATGTTCCTTCGAAAATGATTTCAATCAGATTTTATTACATGCGTTGAAAGGTTGAGCAAGGAAAACGAAAGAATTATGAAATATTAAAATATCACTGCTTGCGCGCGCGTATATATACATATAGAGTTTATAATATATTATAATTTATTGACATGAATATAGAGTCAAATTTATATATTTTAGGGATTGGTACGGAAATTCTGAATTAGAAAACAGAAATTGCAATAATAGTATAGATAGGAAGAAAATGTATCTTATGTATACTCATAATATTCTGTATTCTTATTTAATGTGATGCTTTATCGGCAAAAATGTTTTCCCTCTCAAGTAAGAGTAAATTTTTAATCATAGACTTGCAATTGTTTGCTACTGCATAGCGAAAAACTTTTTCAGTTAAAATCGGGCCTTGTTAAAATGTTTGTATTTAATTTTTAACCGAGTGTTCATTTAACATAATGTGATTATATTATTTTGTGTTAAATTGATATTTAATATTTTTTATTGTTAAAATAACACAATTTATGAGTAAGCAAACAAATAATATAAAAATAATATATTTTAAAACGTATAAAATTCTTGTCTAAGACAAATGAATAAAATATGCGTGCTAAGTTAACATATCTATAAGTGTTTATTTTACTAAAAAAATGTTTCCACAATTTGTTTTCAAATTGTGTCACTGTCATACTTTTTGAATTAATTTTTTACAAACTTTTATGTTGTTTTGTGCATAATTATATGCTGTACTTTACTAGGAAGTATAACAATTAGAATGTACAGAGCTCGGAGACTTATGATACTGATAACTTATAGCTCAACGTACTAAGGAGTCTCTAATTGCTTTTTTAACTAAATAAAAGTTATTTATACGAAAGATTCACGGGATGCGAGTGATATTTAGGAAGTATATTGTATCGTGGGAAAAATATGCGCGATAAATTTTCATTATTAAAGCTTCATTTCCACATCCATCCACACACACACATACATCGATCGTGAGAGTAGTTGGAGGTTTAGGGGAGAAGTCCGTAGAAAGCATTAGCGTAGGCGTACCTAGGGTGCAACAATGTAGTGTGTGCTTGTGGTTGTGGATTTCAGCAGGCGTACAGTCAGTACATCCCGGCTACAAGGGCCCAAGTATCCGGGGCCCAGGGCGGGCAGACGGGGGTCGCCATGGATGGCACTTACCTCGTTGAGGCCTCGTTTTGAAAAGTCCCCTCGCGCACTGTAAACGACATTAAATCCGAACCAGATCGAACAGAGAAAAACAATAGCGAATAAAAAAAAAGTAATAAATGAAAATTACGACACTACCGTGTCACACAACGCATGAGCGATTACAGTCGAGAAATGCATTAGAGGATGCATGGCATCGACACAAAGTTAATATGTGTAACGCGCTAGAAATCCGGAGCTTTACGAACGAGAGCTGAAACACGCTCGTTTATCGACGTAAAGCAGATGCATTTAGAATAACCGAACTGAAGGTAAAAGATTTATGTATATAAATACATTTTTCTCTCCAACAAAGAGAAGGGAGAGAGAACGAGAAACAGAGAAACCGGTGGATACATACGTATAAATAATCGGGCAACAAATTCAAAGGGAGAGAGAGCGAGAACGAGAGAGAGAGAGAGAGAGAGAGAGAAAATCACAGTATAAAAGAGATATATATTATATATATAGAGCAAAAATAATACGTATATCTATATAGACTCGCCAATCGTTCGCGCGACCTAAGAAAATTACCAAAAAAAAAAAACCCACAAACAACACAAGCAAAGACACACACAGTCGCGCGAAATCCTCAAAGTCAATCAATCAAATTCTTCTATTTCATCATTTCCGTGCCATCATCGACCCCCTACGACGACGACGACGACGATGACAACACGACGACGATCATGACGCTGCGTTTGGATCCATCGACAACGTTTGGCGCTGCCTCATCATCCTTCCATCTTCATCAACGTCTTTGGAACATGGTGGATGAAACCGCCATCGATGACGACGACGACGACGATGACGACGAAAACTTCGATTAAAAAAAAAAAACATACGAATTTGCGGCGATGAATAACCGATCGATAATGGCGTTAATGTCTAATCGATCGATTGAAAATCATGTAGAGTCTGTCCTATCAACTTACCTCGAACGAGAGCAAGGACAGAGTGGTGCTCATATATGGCGACCGTATACAGGTGCGGAAAAAGGTAATGAAACCATGTTGGCAGTAAAATAACTGATGATTATGATAATAACGATAATGTTAATGATGATAAAGATGATAAGATATCATATACATATATATATGTACATATATATATGTGTGTGTGTAGAGTTTATGTGAGATGTATCAAGTGTCTGGATCGCGCGCTTTTCTGTCATGAAAAATATATCAGGATTCCCTCAGCAAACCCCCATCCTTTGCTCAATAATGCTTTTAAGAGCGATCAATCTCTGGTTGGCTTCCTCGGTGTCTGCTTTCATTCTCGAAAAAAAAAAAAAAATCTCTTTATTCGCTACGCTCATTAGAAGCTCTTGCATCCCTTGGAGATTCGTCGATAGAGCTGTGCATATACTATATTACAGTTAACGTGCAATTTGCTTCTTGTTGTTATGAATGTATGGCTGTCTTGCTTTTAGGGAGACGGTTTTTAGATGGATGCATTGAGGAACATGCTTGCGAGCCGATAATTTTCCTGTGCTGATTGAAACGATTTTTTATTATTTCCGTATATTTATCTACAGATATATAAATATGGATAAATTTATAATTTTTCTTCATAAACTTTTATTCTTTTTTATATCTTTTAAATAATATGTATATTTATGTATATTTAATTTATTATTATGCTATATACTTGGATACATTTTTATTTACGATTCTATGAGATTTAGTATTTAAATATTTTTATTTAATAAATTTAATTTAATTTTCTATTTTAATATTAATTTACAGATATGTTTAGTAAAAAATACGATAGAAATGCGTTTAATTATTGTAATTCTTTTGATTGGCCTTCGAAATAGCTTGCTTAATTTTATTTTTTATTTACTGGCGATTAATATTTTTCTCCTTTTATTAAATCTTCGTTTTGCTCGCAAAACTAGAAAGCTTTGTTACGAGACAGCATTTATTCAAGAAAATTTCATCAGGAACGAATTTATACATTGTGTTCCTGCCAGTGAGGAGCAAACATTTTAAGAAATTTTTTTACTTATTTGTGCAATTTGGTATGTTTTTTTAATAATTATAGTTTTCTGTGAATAAAAAAATATTAACTAAAATATTAAATATTAAATTAAAATATAATATATTTTAATTTAACACAATTTTAATTTTATATTTTAATTTAACAACACACACACACACACAAAGAAAGATTATATTTTTTAACTGTCTCGAAAGAAACATGAGATAAGTAGATTTATGAACAAACAACTTACATATTAAAACTTTAAATAGCAATACCAAGTTAGTAAATCTCAAACCAAATCTCAGAATACTTTCTTAAGTAATTTAAAAGTATTATAATCATGTAATTATATTATAATTATTAAAGATAAGTAGAACTTGTTAAAGTAAATTATGTTAGAGTTGTCAGAAGATGCGATAGTATCTCGACGGCAAGTTATACATGACGATAAGACCTCACCATATATGTATCTATACGTAAGTTGGCGAGTAAATATATGTATACAAAATATACATATGTACCTACAGTGCTAAAATAACGAAGCTGATTTGTATTTGAAAATAATTAATGGCGATTAAGATATTAATATAAGATTTTTTTTATGTTGATACAAATCAACGTTCATAGATATTTATATAGAAGTGAGTATCTGCTCACATCGTACATAGTCACGCGGTAGTTGTTAGGGTAAAGCCATAATCACTCTAGCGATTGCGCGATTGTGGTTAACAATTGAGGATTACTTTTCAACCAATTAGAGCAAAGCAGTCACCGATTGCTTTACTCCAATTGGTTGAAAAGTAATCCTCAATCGTCAATCACAATCACTCAATCGCATTGTGATTACGGCTTAAGTCGTATTGCAATGTCTGAGCCTTTTATAGATGCAAGTCTCTTCAAATTATGCATGCAGTACTCAACATTTTGATTGTTTTAATATTTTTATTTGCAAAAAACTTACAATAAACGCGTTATACAATACCACTCGATATGATTTACTCGAACATTCCAACAACGATTTCGAAAACAATTATTGCGAGGCTACAAGTCAACTACATGTTCTACTATGAGGACGTGAGCAAACTCTACTCAGTTCAAACACGTGTATTAACATTTATTTGTATATTTACACAAAAAAGCTGATTCATATTTGAATTACGATCATATAATTAAATATATTTATGTTATATATATATAACATCTATCGAAATTTAAATATTAAAGCTTTATTTCTCTCACAAAATATTCTTACAAATCGAGATTTTTATTTTATATACAACATATACATAAAAAATTTTACTCGTTGCAGTTATTCATTCAAACGAATATCTGAGAGCTATTCGTTTTTGATAGAATGGATATTTCAGTATCGGTATTTAGGACGCCTCACTGTCCTTGTAAAGCACGTCAAATTTCGTTAAATCTGATCTTGGTACGAAAACTAACGGCAGGCATTAACGCTATAATGCGTCGACTTTGCACTTTTGTTCTTTACAACATAACGCCTCATCACTATGTTATCTCTGCGGTTTCGCGCCCTGCGACCTACAACACTCTTGTTGCTCTTCTCCTTTTGTTTAAACTTCGAGCACAGAACATGTTGGAGTTGCTCGTGCGAGAAGAGTCGTGAAGGAAAAATTGCGCTTTTCTTTCAGAGATATTCCGGAATATTTTCCGCTACCCGTTTCGTCGGTTTTCTCATTCTTTTTGTGAAATTTGTTTGTTTAAATTAGATATTTTTCCGTTTACAATTTTCAACGAAAAACGAAGAAATACATTGGCAGCGCAAAATATTGCTACATTCTTCAAAACTATTTTTCAAACATTTCCTTAAATTTTTTAAAACGTTCCTGTTCTTGTAAGTGTACATCAATTTTCTGAAACTAGGGCAACCTTAATTATTTCGCAATTTCAAAGCAACGAGACAGACATCTTCTGTAAATCATTCTATCACTGTTTATAAACGTTTTTATAACAAGTTCTTTGATGTATGATAAATTGAAATCGGTTTTACTTTAATTAAAATTTTATTGATAATATAATATCTTATTAAAATTAGATATAAAAACAAATTTTATTTTTTTTCTATTTTTTACCTTTAAATTGTAAAAATTATATTTGACACTTTTATCAAAAAAAAATTAGCTTTAAATTGATCGATGAAATAAAAAGAGTTGCGCAAATCCTGAAACGATTTTTTTATATAATGTTATATGTTTCCTATTTGTTTTTAAATTGCAAAATAATATTAGTAGTCACAGTTTCAAGATATCAATATTTTCTTAGATAGGTGAATTTAAACTTGGTTACGTTATTGCTCTCTCTTTATATTTTTTTAGCTAAACAGAAACGTGACAAGCAGCAGATTCAAAGACAACAGAAGTTCAAGTATAAAGGGCCATAAAGAGAAACATATACAACTGCCGTAGGATAGGCTGTTAGTTTCCTTCGTTTCTCCTTTCTTTTCTTCTCTGCAATTTCATGACTTTCTTTGGAGGCGATTGAAAGACGTCGACAATTGAAATAGAAGTTTCTCGTGTCTCTTTTAAGATTGTAGGGTCTGAAACTTATCTCAACGCTCGCTTTTATCTTTGTTATGTTTCTACGACACACTTCGTATGTGTGATACAAAAATTGTAGATTAATAAACTGATGGCTAAATAATTGAGAATTATTATCTTAAGTAATTCGTAGTGAATAAAACAAGAATTAAATAGATCATTTAGCCTTTATTTGCAGTGACTAGGATTTCATGCAAAGTGTAATTAGATGTTACGAAAATGACTATCAAAGGCAAAGGCTGTACATTTATTTCAGCCGGATTTATTATCGCTTGCTCACAGCCGTGGCGTGTTAACCAAATCCTCGTAAATGTCTACTAAATTTCACGTAAACTCACCAGCGCGTCAATACAGCGAATAAATTTAACCGTAAAAACAGTCTTTACAGCAGTATATCGTCTAAATCGAATACGTTTAAAGACGTAAAAGTTTTGTTTAAACTTTCAAAGTTTATTGTACGTATGAACTTAATTAAATCATCAATTTGTCTTTTATCTTTTTTCAGACAAAACGGCAACTATTAAGTTATAAATATTGTCTCTTATTTTAACTATAAAAGTAATATATATATATATATATCTCATTTTTATTGTTTATTATAAATAATAATTTTATATTACATGCTTATTGCAATAATATGCCTGTTTTAATACTTTTGATACTCTTTCTTGCAAACATTTAATTTAAATATTATACTTTTACGCTCACTTTCAAAGCATTGGCGTTGCAGAAATAGCATTAAACTCGATCTCCAATTGCGCAAATATAGTTGTAGTTGTATGGATTGAATTACAGTTGAATACGAGTCTTCTCGTACTCAACTGTAATTCAATTCTTACAACTACACTATCCAACTGTGATTGAAGAATTCTTACAACTACGACCACTTACAACTACGTTTACGCAATTATAGATCAGGCTTTAGCGCTATTAAGCAATACACCTAGAAATAACACGAGAATTACATTTAATACGCTTACGTTACGTTCATCGAGTACGCTTTCTACATTTAC